CACCATAATTAAGTGTAAAGATTTATGTAGGCTATGTACATGAACCAGTCAAGTGAGCCTTGAATAAAAAAAGACTCCCAGAATCATGTTGTGTGGGAGAGAATGAACATTTTAGGTTTTAAAAGAAGACCTTTATCATGACCAGCTGTTTCGACGCTTTTTCTACTGGATGCTTTGCTGGAATCATGTCCGGTTTTATAATTACATACAGAAGGGTTAAAGTAGTTTAAAATGTGCTAAATATAAATGTAATCAATTTTGGGGCTTTATTATATTAATCATTTATTTTCTTTAATTTATTTTTTGCGCCAACAACATTTAAACTAATGCAGTCAATACCAAACTTTAGTGGGTATTCCAGCCATGTTAGTCAGATGCTTGGAGCTTATTCTAGTCATTTATCTGTTTCCAATTACAGCTTTACAAAGTCAGTACGATAAAACCAATATGTAATATTTACAGTCTATTGATAAAACCCGACGATTATAACTACACATAAACATCACACGTTTAGACGCGGAACCTTTTAAATAACCAGGCTTTTGTTTCAAGTCGGCATGTAAACAGTGGAGCACATTCAGAGCAGCTATGTCTGTGTAGCAGGTCGTTAAAAAAAATTCAGTCTTCTTTTAATACAAATGTTCGTCGACTGTGGTCAAAGTCAGAAAAACAGCAGTCATGAAACTGCACCAGACTCTCCGGAATGTCAGCAAGTTCAGATCCGTTTTCGACTTCGGTGGACGGGAAGTGGCTCACTGGTTCCCCGGACACATGGCTAAAGGTGACAGCTTTTCTCCCACAGTCACACTTAATTGTAACGTGAGGTACAATAATAAACATGCATTTGGAATATAAACTTGTGTTTTCCCCTACTGTAACAAGAGGTTGTAACGTTTAGTGGTTGCCATGGTTACATGATGTGACCTTTTGCAGGACTGAGGCAGATGAGAGCCAGCCTGAAGAGTGTGGACTGCATCATAGAGGTCCACGATGCAAGAATATCCTTTTTTTTTAATAACAATAAACAATCAATACAGTCCATTCATTTAATAAATAATGTTTAAAATCTTAATTATTTAATCATATCATCATAGAAACTGTATAATCTTCTGCTAGTGCAACTGGGTGCCTGCTGTTATCATAAAAACACTTTTCCATACATTTCCTTTGACGTTAATTACAACAATAGAAATAGATCATCACAGCATTGAATAATCAAATGCAAGACTTGAACATCACTGAATAATCACTTTTTAATATAAATCGATAAAAGCTGTCAGCAGAGAAACCCTTCATTTTGTGTTAAATTAACAAAGAGCTCATGTTTATGTAACAGGCAGTCATTGAAGAAAACGTTTAAATCTAAAGTAGTTTAAAAAGTAGTCAGTGCCATCGTTATATTTTCTCCTCTTTAATTAAAATCTTTGCAGCAGAACTTTCTACATAGAGGACATCAGTGGTCTGATGTTAGAGATTTACTGGACGTACTAAAATCAAACCTGGCCTAGTGGTCGAATATATTAATCTAAGTTTCATATACTATGTTTCCTACCACACAGGGCTGGGAAATATATCGAGTTTTTAAGATATATCGATATGTTTTCAAACAAGATATAGGGTAAGACAATATTGTTAATATGGATATAGTTTATGTTGCATTAAAATAACGTTACAGAGGTGTTAGTTCACCTTTTTCTCATCTCACTGATGATGTCTGACTGTCTCTCCCTCTTCACCCTGCTCCTCCTCTCTCTCTCTTTTATTGTATTTAAAGAACATTTTTATTTTATAATATTACTTTTTAAATTCACAAACAGGTAGTTTATTTTCCATGTGTTTTCACTGTTAATAAAATACATATCGATATATATCGAGTGTCGCCATTCAGATAAACAATATCAAGATATGAGTTTTGGTCTATATCGCCCAGCCCTACTACCACAGACATTTTTGTAATTGTGATTTAACGAATGGGATCTTGACCAATGCCTTTTCCTTGTCTAGTTTAAGGCTTGATTAGTAGGATATGGAAAGGCAGACAACTTCAGTTTACAGAGTGCTTCAATCTCTTGTTTTAATTTCTTCATTAATAGTTTTTCTGCTTCTGTGGCCAGGTAGAATTGTTATTTCTTAAAAAGTTTAAAGAGGCCCAGCGGGTCATTATTGCCTTCCATGCAGAGGTTTTCTTGAGAGATAAATTGAAAGCAGTTTCTTCTTTAACATGGAGCAACATCCCCCTCTCTGGAAGAAACCCCGAGTTTCAGGAGAGTCTCAGCGTCAGACCACATCTGCTCATTCTCAACAAAATGGACCTCGCTGATCTTTCCAAGAAGCAGGTAAAGAGCCACATGTCACCAGATTTTTAAAAATCAGTAAAATGAAACTAATATCTCAACAATGACTTCAGAGCATCCTAAAGAAGCTGGAAAAACGTGGGGTGAGCAATGTTCTCTTCACCGACTGTTTAAAGCAGAGAGATGAAAACGTCAAAAAGGTAGAGGTCTCATCTTCACTGAAAACTGAACTTTTGAATTTTTGCAGAAGTTTACTCTTCGATGAAAAGCTGAGCGTGATTATGCAATCCATGTGTGTTTATATTTGTATTTTAGTTGGTGCCAATGGTCGTGAAAGTTATCGAGAGCGAAGCACGATTTAACAGAGAAGAGGTATGCTTACACCAGTCAGTTTGATCTTTCTATTTTGTTGCATGATTCGTTTCTACTTTGACAAAAAACAACTACAAATAGCAGCCTGATGAAGATTTAACATTTATCTCTGATGGCAGAACAACCTCAGTCTTATTTTTCTGTCACATATAGCCCAATATTTAGACACCCTTACCATTAAGTCTTTCAAAACCTACATTACAAGATATCAAAATATCAGAAAATAAAAAGTAATGTCCTCCACAATCTCTGATTCAACATATCAAATAAAACTTCTACCTAATGTAATTTCACTTACTAATGTAAACACATCTTCAATCGTTTATCTCCACTGTGATATTTACTTTATTTTCCTCACCAGTTGTTTATGGTAATTGAATTCATACATTTTTGCTCAAAGCTTGTCATTGTGTTTTTCAGAACACAAATTATTGCATGATGGTGATTGGGGTGCCCAACGTAGGGAAATCATCTCTAATCAACTCGTTAAGAAGGACAAACTTGAAAAAAGGTTTGTGTTGTCAAGTAGTTACCTGTTGTTGAACATCGATCCGGTAAAATATATAACAATGAATTTTATTCTTATGCAACCATCTTAGGTCGTGCATCTCGAGTAGGAGGGGAACCAGGTATCACTAAAGCAGTCTTGACTAGGATTCAGGTAGGTGTGGAGGACATGAGTGTCTCTGTTGAAGTGTATTTATGTGTTCATGGATTCAATGTTGTAGCTGTCTTTGTCCTTAGGTGTGTGAACGACCCATAATGCACCTGTTGGACACACCTGGGGTCTTACCCCCTAAGATTGAGAGCATTGAAACAGGCATGAAGCTGGCTTTATGTGGTGAGCAGAAACAGGTTATTATTTTTACTCCTAAAAATGATTTACTGTCATTCAGGAAACAGCTTGTAGAAAAGTTTTTGTTCTGTAAAATGTCTTGGACTTTAGAGAGGACTGAAGAGGTGTTTTGGATATGTTTTTCTTTCTTACTTCAGGAACTATTCTGGACCATTTAGTGGGTGAAGACATCATTGCAGACTACTTACTTTATTCTCTAAACAGGCTTGAGAAGTTCAGGTATGAAGAATGATGAATAAATACACATTCAGATTAAAAGCATGTTCCTCTTACCTCTCATAACTGTTGTTGTTTTAATTATTGTTTGTGTTTTTGTGCAGTTATGTCGAGAAATACGACCTCCAAGAGCCGAGCGATGACATACAGAATGTCCTTAAACGCATCGCTGTGAAACTTGGAAAGACTCAAAGGGTCAAAGCCATCACTGGAGTTGGTGAGAAATAGCTTATTATAAAAAATACTCCTGCTACATGCAAAGTTAATGGCTCACTTTGTCTCAGTTAAAGATGAAGATTTAAAGGTTCTGATTTGGAGAAACAACATTTTTAGCTGTCATTCTTAAAGCTAGATGAGAAGATCTTGACTAGCCTGATGTCTTAAATAAATAAATCTGAATGGGACTTCATCTATGTCAAAAGAAAAACTTTCCCTTTCTAACCTATTTTAAACATAATTTCACAATTAACCACATTCATTTTTAAACCTAAAAAAGCAGATTTAATCCATCAACTGTGAGTAACTTTCATCTTGATATGATTAGATGGCCACCCTGGACACAACAGTACATCTAAACAGGCTGTCCAGTAAACCACTGATAATCTCATTTTAAAAAATCATGTATGTTTGATATAAATTGCATCTGAGACTCTGAGCTGGAAAGAGGAATTAGAAAATATTGATCTTGTGGCTGCTTTGCGTTCAGTCAAAAAGAGGTAATTAAAAGTCTCAAAACCATCCTCACAGTATTTTTTTTTTACATATTTCCTAAAAGAACAAAACTTGTCTTAAAATAATTTGTCCCATAACTTATTATGCACTATATGTACATATTTAATGAGTACTTACATGCTAACCAGACAGGCTTATGTGCACTCTCACTTCACTTTGACAGTTTTCCCCTCATCTCCCTCAGGTAACATTACCGTCACTGTCCCAAACTACACGGCAGCCGCGTACGATTTCATACGAGCCTTCAGGAAAGGAGAGCTGGGACAAGTCATGCTGGACTGATGGAGCCTTTTTTGACAAATATCATCAGAGACTGTTTGTGGGTTTGCCCTCGGCTGGAAGAATTTACATTTCACACACAGGTGTCATTAAGTGGACATAGTCTTTTGGCATCTTCAGGACAAGATAAAGTCTGTTTTCTATATGAATGACTTGAGATCATCCAAAGCTCTGTACACTTTGTAAATAAAAGATTGTACCTCGATTCAGGTTTTTCTCAGCTTTCAGCATGCATGACGCAAACATCTGACATGGTGTAAACAGGATATTTATTAGCATATAGACACTTATAACAAATTCTTTATTATGTACATAGGTGTTTTAGCGTATAACAGAGTGCACTTGATGTGGAACAGTCTGTTGCTCCTGAGTGTCTGCTGCAGGTAAAAATCCCCTCCAGGACAAAACTGTGGAAACCTTAAAAAACACGAAAAATGTTGAGAGCAGCAGTTTTTTTTTTTTGTGTCCTCCCCAGCCATGAAGGGCTTTGTACAAGGTCTGAGAACACACAAAGGGTTATTTTAAGTGATATGAAAGTGTGTTTATAGTACAAAATATTTGAAATGGTTGTGAGAAATGCAGTTCCATTCTTGTGGCAGAGATTCACCTTTTGGCTGTCATCATTAAAATCATAGAGAATTTGTATTTTTTAAATGATTTGGCAGTTTGGTTTCAGGAGGTTATGCTGGTTTTAACTTGGCACTTTTACTCTGCTTGGTCACCTGAACTTCTATGGTCTACATGACCTCCAGCAAGTCCAAAAAAAAAAATTCTAGCTGTTCTGAGCAGCAATAATGGTCATTTCCTTTTGCATTGTTTTCATACAAAAATAAACGTTTTCTGGGATGCCGTAAAGTTTGGCACTACAATTAAACTGGCAGCCAGAGATTTTATTGAAGTTTACTGTGAACGCTCACATTCGCATGGCGGCCATTTTCGTCTGACGTCACAACCGGGGAGGGAAGTAAAAATTCTTTCGGCAATAACCACGTCCTGCTGTGTTCAACGTTAGCAAAACCAAACAGAATGTTATCTCAAAAAGCTTTACCATTTCACCGCCTCCGGGTTGACAAGCGTCTAAGAAGACAATTCTAGGCAAATATCTGAATATCTGGGAGGATATTATATTCAGTAACTCATCTGCTACTGTTGGACATAAGCTAACTTTAGCGTCATTACCATAGTGTTAGCTTGACAATATGCAAGGGAAGGCCCAAATTACTGGCAATCTAAGTAGAGGTAGCTAGCCAACAGTAAGGTTAGGATTAGCTGTTCTAACTAAGCTATTACCTAATGGTTTATGGTAAATGTGGTATTCCCTTAAAATATGGTCCAAGTTAACTCAGTATTGTCTCAATTATTGCCCTGCTTTGTCAATATCTATCTGTCATTTTCATCCGGTGAAAGTGGTTAATCAGAATTTTTTCTGTTTGATAGTTTAAGGGACACAATACGCAAGGAAATACACAAGTTCCTAACTAATTATAGAGTTGGGAAGCTAACTTAAAGGTAACTGTTGTTACCTAATTGGTTATAAAATCTTGAAGAGCCTGAGGCCTAATGTCTCTCTCTTTTTAACAACCTATTGTCTTTTTTCACTTTATATTGTGAATCTCATAAGTTACTTATTTTCTGCTAAAGCTTTCCCACCTCTTTTTATGAGCACTCACAACATAATAAGAAAGGAAAAGTCCCCAACCACAAGTTAGCAGTGGAGCTAGTTATCGTTATCGCACAATAAGCTAGCTATAATTGGTTGAATGCCAATGTTAGTTGCTGTGACTTGACTGTCTGTTTTCAAGTTTGTTTTACTTGAAGATAAGACCTGATGTCTCTTGGTTTCACCATATTTTGTCTTCCCATTTGCTGATCGATCGAGAAGCAATACAAATATAGTGCTTTGTCGTATTTCCTTCGTTAGAATATTTGCAGCAGTGCAGCATTAACCATCCAACCCTGAGCTGGAGGTCAAAGAAAAAGGCCGCCATGTGAAAGTGGTAAATTGGCATTTTTGACTGATTCAACATTTTCCTCAGTTAGGCTTTAAGGGAGAAAACTAACTCTTGACTTAAAGCCCACGTTTCTAACACAGGGACTGACGTAGGTTTGACAAACGTGCACTCTTTGAGGGGTGAAAGGTCACGTAAAATACCTTGCTGGTAATGTATTTGTCTGTTTGGTGTGGATGATATATGTGCAAAAATATACAGTACAGTGATGTTATTATTGTTTCGTCTTAACACGACATGTTGCGTTGCACCTCTTACTGGTTTTCACAGAACAAATTCCAGCTAGAACCTCACATGGTAGTCAGATCTTCGACCCAATCAGGGATTCTTCCTCAAAAATACAACAACCTGAAAGTCTACAGTAAACTGTCCAATAAGAGTCCAAACTTTGGGGAAAATGTTGCAATAATGATAGAAACCAGTTGAGAGAGAGAAGATCCATTTTGAGTGGAGCCAGACATTAGTGCATCAAAGTAATTGGTCCTGTTGTAGAAATCCAGCTCCTCCTCTGAGGTATCAGCTTTGCTGCGGCGGTAAGCAGAGGCGTACCATTTATCGGCTGATAAAGCCACGGCTGCTCCTGCTGCTGCTGCTGCTGCGACCCTCACTGGGGACGAGCGCCCTGCCGCCCTGTAGCGGGAGCGTGTCCCACCATAAGCGCCCCCGCCCCTGTAATTCCCCGCTGTGGAGCTGCGGGAGGAGGAACCCCGAGAGGAGCCCCGGGAGCCTCCACGACCGCCCTTGGACAGCACAGGCTCACACAGGAAAGCAGTGAGCAGGAGGCAAGTCCAGCAGGTTGCAACCAGCTGGTTTATTCCTGACATCTGTGCAGGAAGAAGACATTAAAGGAGAATCACGTTTAAGTTTGTGCTCCTTTAATGTGTGAAATAAAGAAATTATACATCTGGCTGTTGCAGAAATGATCGTTTGATTTTGTGTGGGTGAACACTGGAGCTCGCTACTCACTGATCAATACTCTATAAAATCCTCTTAAGCCATTGTGACATAATGTCCTCTCACCAAAAAGAAGAACTCAGGTTATTCTCCTGAACAACATAAAAAACATCATCTTCATAACATCTGTGAGGCAGACTGTCGCTCTCTATCAAAGTAGGTCAGTTTAGAATATATATATGCACATAAGAGAAAAACGCTTTTAGCCTTAATATGAAGGAGATGCAATTTTGCCCTTAGAGTCTTGTGAAGAAAAGGCTAAATATCTGTTCCAGCCTATGTTCAGATGTGATAGGCCATCATTTGATTATAGAGATCTTGCAGGCAGGTCGGCCATTCAGTAGAAATGCACGAAATATTAACATCATTTTATTTATGATTTATGATTTTTACAAATTCCTCTACAACGCAAACGCATGCATGTTGATGATAAAGATCTTAATATCTTAGAATACATTTTTTATTTTATAAATTAGCTTATATCCTACTGTGATGAATCCTGAAGGAACCACTTGCCATTTTAAAATAAATACTGTATGCATAAACACTCACGATCGTGTTCATCAGCATATCTGATGGTTGATGCTTACCTTATAACCGTGTGGGTTTATCCTTGTCTAATGTCTTTTCAGGAGGAGAGATGATAAAAGGGAATAATCACAGACGATGTAGGCTCGTTCACAGAGATGTCCACGAGAACGCGCAGCGCGCTCATGAACAGTCTCTCTTATGAGCCGCTTTCAGTCCAAATCTTATTAAAATCTATTTATATATTATTGGAGATGCACTGATTTATTTGTCCACCTCCTTCACACGTTTTGTGATCAGGTTATTATGATGATACAATCTTTATCATGACTGGTTTCTGATTTGCTGATAAATATTACAATGTAGGTTTAATGCTTTATGCAAAAAACTAAATCTGCATTTAAAAGGACATTTGTTTAGTAATTTAATTAATAATCGAACATGTGTATTTTTGTTGTTGCATTTGATTAAATATGTGTAATGGTTCAAAAAATCTAAAAATAGACATTGTACTGAAGATGTTATCCTGTTCATTGTGAAGATAATCCTAATAATATAGCCTAAATTCATTAGGTTAATTTTATGTTGTGTTTTGCCTTATTTCTCTGTTTGATCTGGTGGTTGTTAATTTAAATACATATTAATATTAATATTTTTATTTTGTGTTCAGTTCTCAGTGAACGTCCTCCAAAAAAATCATGAAAAAATGTATGTTAGATAAATATTTAAATTCGAGTACACAATGAAAGCGTGTGAATGAAAAAGTGTGCTCTTTGAAAGCAGGTGTTAGTAAAAAAAATAAAAATAAATAACTGAAGCATCAGAATGAAAAGAAACAAAAACTAGACGAATCTAATTACACGCGCATGTGCACTCCGCATCCACCAGGGGGCGCTAATGCAAGTCCCCCAAACATTTCTCCTCATGGAAAACACCAACGAAGAAGACTGAACAGGAAAGAGCTGCCTGCCTGCGATCTTGGAGCAAGTTCACTGACAGCAGTCCCCTCTTCTTCTTCTTCTTCTCTTTCTGTCGTCATGGCTTTCCTCTGCAGAAACGCAGCTTTGCTCCTGAAGAACTCCAGAGCAGCGCCGGCCGTCCTGCCTGCTGCTCGTCTCTACAGCTCAGGTGTGTTTTTAACAAACAGCTCAGGTGTGTTTTTAACAAACAGCTCAGGTTCAGTTTCTGCACCAGCTCACAGCTCTGCTACAATGTCAAGAAACCTGCGTCACAGAAAGTGCGACGCAGGTGAAGCAGGTAGACTGTTATTTTATGACATTACGTCATACATGAGCTTTGTTCACCTCAAAACGTTCAAAAGCTTTTGATTGATTGATTGATTGATTGATTGATTGATTGATTGATTACATTTATTTCAGACATATCAAATAAAATCAAACATGTGAAAAATACAAAACAAAATGAAAAGCACGAAAATACAAAAAACAAAAAAACAATGTTCAAATTATTTCACAAAAAAAGAAAAAGAAAATTACATATATTCAATTGATTTGCCTGAAAAGGAGGAGGAGGAAGAAGTATAAGACTTATTTAATCCTACCCCTCTTCCACAGCTCAGTAATATTTATTAAATTAAATAAACTGTTCCTTATAATCTCTCTATAAATACAATTTGTTTACTGTTGTGCTGAAATTAGATGCAAGATAATTTTTTTGACAAGTTGTTGACATGAGGATCAGCTGTGGTCAAATTAAGTACACACACACACACACACACACAAGTGTTCTTTCTTGAAGCCTGTAAGTCATCACAACACTAAAATGAAAACATTACAGCTGCGCCTCTTTAAAAAGATTCTTATTTTAAAATGATCACGTTAACTTCGTTGTTTCGTTGACAGTAAGAAGTGTGATTGAAAATGTGTTTATGTATTTCTTGAGACATTGCTCAGTCCCATGCTGTCTTTTATCAACAGAGCAGCTGACCTAATGTCTATAAATCCACTCCTCAAGGTGTCACTTAAGTTAAAGTCAAGTTTTCCTGAGACAGATGTACATAGAAACTGTTCAAAGTATTTGTCCTAGCTTGGAGTAATATTTTTTTTGAGGTTGGTTAGATTTTTTCTTAGAACTTGAAACACCAAAAAACCTGATTTTCTGAGAGTAAAGAGGGAGTCTCGGTTCTCGGCTTTGCTCGGGTATCAGAGGCCTTGAACGTCTCTGTCAGGCCTTGACACACAGGCTGTTAAAGTTGACCTTTCACCTTTTCTGAAATGATTAACCTTCACTTCATTTTGTTGTGTGATATGAGGATAAGACGGCTCAGCAGAGATCACTATGACGACCCATCACCTGGTTTTTAAGACTAAACTGTATTATAAAAGTTGTTATGATAAAAACATCTCTGGTCAGTATGATATTTAAACAAGTTTTTTATCACATTTTATGGGATTGAAGAGATCTGTTAAGTCTAAACCAGGACTGCACGTGATGTTTATTTAACTATCAAGATGTTAGCGGGTTATTTTTATGATAAACCATTTAGTTATTGACATGATGACTCTGTTATCATGTTCATTGATTTATTTTCTTTTGAATGGATTAATTGCTTATCGTTGCAGTTTTAGTCTTAAACTCTCCTGCAGAAACCAACACTCACCTCAACACTCAGAGCCATCTCTTTGGGTTTTCTCTCCGTGCAGGAGGTCAGTACGAGTATATTTTGGTGGAAAAGCGAGGTGAGAAGAGTAACGTGGGTTTCATCCAACTGAACCGGCCGAAGGCTCTTAACGCCCTGTGTGACGATCTGATGAAGGAGGTGGGTCAGGCCCTGGACGCCTTCGAAGCTGACGGGGACGTCGGAGCGATCGTCATCACAGGAAGTGACAGAGCGTTTGCAGGTAGCTTGATGGAGCAGTTTTTCTTTCAGTGAGGAGCAGAGGGGATGGAGTGATGTGACACGTGAGCTTTTGTGTTCCCCAGCGGGCGCGGACATTAAGGAGATGCAGAATCGAACCTTCCAGGAGTGTTACGGTGGAAACTTCCTGGCTCACTGGAACAGAGTGTCCACAGTGAAGAAGCCTGTGATTGCAGCTGTCAATGGATTCGCTGTGAGTGTCCTTTTTCTTCATTTTGTATTACTGATACTTAATAATAATAATAATAATAATAATAAATTAGATTTATATAGCGCTTTTCTAAATACTCAAAGACGCTTTGACAGGAAACAACAAAAAACAAAGAGAACAATACAACATAGAAGTAGTGGAATAGGATGAGAGTCAGTGGTTGTAGGCGGTGATGAAAATGTGAGTTTTTAGGGATTTCTTGTAGGAAGTGAGTGCGGGGGAGTCTCTGATGTTTTTGGGGAGAGAGTTCCAGAGGGTGGGAGCTGCAATGGAGAAGGCCCTGTCCCCCCCAGGATTATTTAATTTAGAATGGAGGGGGGAGGTACTGTATGTAGTTTGATTTACACAAAATAAGGATAAAAATATACAAACATAACATTAAAACTCATGGAAATGAGGAAGAACAAAACAAGAAAATAAGCCAGAAGAAAACAGCAAATCTCAAACTGAAAGTGTTTGAGGTAATGTGTAGGATTCGAACGCAAAACAGAAAGTTAACAGAGATGATAAACTACTCCCCTCTTCTTCTGACTAAGGCAAGGACTTAAACCTAGTCAGCTGAGTGAGTTTATTCAAGTCTGCAACCCGTGTTTTTACTCAAGATTTAAGACTTAATTTCTGCATAGATTCCAAATATGAATTAAAGACCTTCCCTTTATATTCAGGACTGAATTTAGATGTGTCTTAACTCCTGAGTTGGTTTTAGCTGAGAGCAGTCTTAATGACGGTTTATAAGTCGATGCACCAACAGAACATCAACCGAGGCAAAACTACATCCAGTCTTAGCGATGCCCATTCATGCACATATGAACTAAAGCTCTTCCCTTTACTTGAAGTCATTAACTCACGCTCATGTGATAACAATCTGTGTCGGGTATTTTGTAAACAAACGGTAACAAGAGGCCAAGGACAAAGCTCCACACAGGGATGTTCAAACACCTTTAGACCAATAATATAGCTTTAACTCTAAACATACAAATATTTGATTAGTTGGGGATGCACAAAGTGTATGATGCATGAGTCAGTGATTTGTGGGATTATAGGAGGGCTTAAGTGAAAAGGATATTTTCTGTGTCTTTCTGCTGTATAGCTGGGCGGAGGCTGTGAGCTGGCGATGATGTGTGACATCATCTATGCTGGAGAGAAGGCGCAATTTGGACAACCAGAGATCCTGCTGGGGACCATTCCTGGTAAAAAGCTCTTTTCTTTTCAGTTCAGACGTCCTGTTGCACATTTGATCAGACTGTTGATGACGTCCGTCTCTGTGCAGGCTCTGGAGGCACCCAGAGGCTGACGCGTGCTGTCGGAAAGTCTCTGGCTATGGAGCTGGTTCTCACAGGAGACAAGATAAACGCACAGGACGCCAAACAGTCAGGTAACAGCGGAGTTTGAAAAGTGTTGGTACTGAAGTACAGTTTTAAATATTTGTACTCAACTTGAGCTTTTTTATTCTGACTTCATCTCTTCTTCTAAATGTCTGATCATATAGTAAGGTCAGTTTATGATTTAATTCAGTAGATATCTTACATATTGCTCCTTTAATGTTTATGTGTGAAGCTGAAAGAAGGTATTTAGGTTTTTCCATCAGATCGAATCTCTGACTCTCTGGAAGTCACTCGATCAGAGCCCAACCGATCAATCGGCAAGACGATTATATCGGCTGATATTAACATATCCAGTGATTGTATTGGCAGGTTTGATTGCAGATATGTGCTGATATTAGTAGATTTATATACCAGTCACATAGCATTTCATTTCACTGGCAGTTCTCTGTCACCAGTGGAGGTTGCTATATGGATTACAAAAAGCATTTTCACTCTCCAGTGTCGAGCGGTGATGAATGTACATGCGCAGTAACTTTCCAGTTTAATGACCATCTTTTCTTAATTAAATATATATTCCCACAAATGTTTGATATCTGCACTTGAGGGAGTAACACAACATCTGTGTGTATCTATCTCAACAAGAAAGATATCGGCTGATTAATCATTATCTGATTATTTTTCTCCCCATTATTGATATCGGTATTGGCCTGAAAAGTCTGATATCAGTCAGGCCCTAAACTGGATTAGTAATTTGGGAGCCACTTGACAACTTGACACTTGATAACCCAAATAAAATCTTTAAAAAATGATATATAACTCATAATATATCTAGAACAGGGGACACTCTGTACTCAACTCTATTTATTTTCATAAAAAAGTGGACGTGTGTCTCTTAAATTCATACTTTTTTTAATATATAGTTGACTCAGAATATTTTGTTTCCCAGGTTTGGTGAGTAAAATTTATCCTGTGGACCAGTTGGTGCCTGAAGCTGTGAAATGTGGTGAGAAAATAGCTGCAAACTCAAAGCTGGTGTCTGCTATGGCTAAAGAGGCTGTAAATGCAGGTAGGTGTTCTGATTACTAAAACTTTTAAATCTACTATATCAATAAGTTTCATGTGTTTCTGACTTGTTTCTTTGTGTGATCACAGCTTTTGAACTGACCTTGGCTGAGGGTAACCGTTTGGAAAAGCGTTTATTCCACGCCACCTTTGCCACGGTGAGAATTAGAGTCCATAGTAGAGTGAGTGAGGGGGGGTTCGACTCTGATCTCCACAGTCCAGGTCATGACGTGTCTGTCTTTTTATTCCTGCAGGATGATCGTAAAGAAGGCATGACAGCATTTGTGGAGAAGAGAAAAGCCAGTTTCCAGGACAATTAGAAAGGAGCTGATCAAGCGCTCTACAAGAACACAAAGATGATATCAGTGGGTCATGTCCTTATAACCGCAATACGTCGAATTGTGCAAGAAATCCTGACTGTAGTGGAACATACAATATGTTTGAATTAGGATTCGGCACTGAGTTGAGTGCCTTGTCACCGTGACGCCCCTGCCTGCAGAGGGTTTGTGTTAAAATGAAATGCAGTGTATGTGCAGGAGTGGATTCATGTGTGAAAACCTTTGATCGCTGTGTGTGAAATCAGAGGAATCAGTAATGATGATTTGTGCGGACTTTGCCTTCTCATTTTCATTTTCTTAACAGGTCGGCACTTTAGTAGGCAAACATTTTGTGTGAACATTTTACTAATAAAATTCCAGAGTGGTTTTCAGTTGTGCAGCTGAAACATGAACTAAAATAAGAAGTCTTGTCTGATGTGTTTGTTAAGATACTGCTTAATCAATCAACAATATTAATTAAAATAACTAAAGGGACCTCAAAACATTAAACTTTAGAGCAGGTCAGGACAGTCATCTGCAATACAGGGAGATATACTGGCATCAACAGAAGTAACAACGGAGGATGAAGAATTCTGAACGCAAAACCAACATTGATAGTTATTGAAATATATAAAAAGCTTTGATTTAGATATTACAGATAATTTCAGCTTGAGGAGTCGGGTAGGTCCACTTGTATGGCACTTTTCAACTCTTCTGAGTACTCATCACATTCCCACATTAACACACTAAACGCAGAGGATGCTATGTAGTCAGTTATCTCATTTATAAAAACACATTCACACACTGCTGACGTATAGAGGCTGGAGCAATTTGAGGTTCAGTGTCTTGCCCGAGGACACTTCGCCATGTGCCTGCAGGAGCTGGGTAACAAAATCTCAACCTTTTTCATAATAGACGACCGACTCCACCACTGATCCACAGCCGAATTGAATAAATGTATACAGATGAAGAGAGAGAAGGAGAAAAGGTGTTTGAGTCTTCCTTTATCACACATTTTAGTTCCTCATGATGTGCCTATTTTTAAGTCTGTTTTCAGATGGTTATTATTTATTTTAACAATTAAAATTAATTTAAATGCTCCAAAATCTAAAACTGATCAAATTAACACAAGTGACGGCTCAGTTCACCTTACACTCAAACCAGTGTATACTTACCACCACTAGATGGCGCCCTCGTGTTGTTAGACAAACATCGGTGCAGAAAGTTGACATGTAGACCATAAATTAAATAGATCTGCTGCGTTGACAAGCACCGGGTTGTATTCAGATGAACTCAGTTCATGACAACTAATTGGTCGAGTCTTTAAAATATTGTTAGAAATAAATCAGAAAAACACACATTTGTAGTTTCAGTGTTTGTTAATTAAAGCAAAAACTCCTCTTTAAGTGTAACAAAGGAAATCTGACTTCTCATGTTTACTTTGATTTAGGAAAACAAATAAAAATCTCAGTTATTCGTAGAGCTTGATTTAAAAAATAATAATCAAATGGTTAGATTGTGATATTGAAATGATTTTATTTCAGCACGATTTAAGTTTATCTGAAAGCACTTAGATAAACTTTAGTCTTAGACTTAAGTCACTAAACCGGCTTGATGATCTTTAGTTGAACTTTCCTCATATTGGCTGAAAACCATAATTTTAACTTCAAAGAAAACACCAGAACAAATTTGGTTAGTGTGCCCTTTCATGTGCCGCTCCAATCATCGCGAGGCACCTTTTTCTCTCTCTGATCTTCACACGGCGGCGCCCCATATCTCCACAAGGCCATGGCCTAATTGATTTTTATTTTCATTCAATATTCCCCCCGGAGCTAGCTTTTCTTGTCAGCCCCCTGGAACAAAACTTTAAAAAAAAGGAGGAGAGAAGAAAACTCGTCTCCTCTCTCGGCGGGGAAGCACAAAAGTCTGCGGAGAGGCAGCGAAAAGAAGCTCCTTCTCTGAGGCTACCGAAAGGTCAAAATAATAAATGTAGACTCAATTGAGCCTCTCTGCACGCACAAAGGGGGCAAAACGTTACATTCTGGCAGCGCGGACCCTCATAGCGTGATAAACTCATTTAAAAAAGCTGAAATAAAGACAGAGCAGCATGGGTCCAGAGAGGGAGAAAGGGGGCTTTCAATCCGACAGACAGGCCTGGCTCCTGCGAGGGCCTTTTCTCCTGCCTAGCAGCCCCCCCCCCCCATCCCCCCCCATCCCTCTCCAAAAACCCCTCAAATATTCTTAAACTACCCTGCCTCTGTGCCACTCAGTCAGGACTTTTCTGCATCCAATTAGGCTAATTTTTATCTCCTCATGGATCTGTTTAACTTAAAAAGTAATGTATGGAAAAAGAAAGCAATCCTTTTTTTAATTTGAAACTTCACTCCAGTAAAAAAAAAAAAGAAGTTCCCTATAAACTATTTTTGAAGTGATATATGGGGTGGATTATTTCATGCATAATTTGTAGAAAACCAGTGAGTATAAGAAAATGTACTTATCAATGTTAAGGATATTATAGTCTACATATAGCCTATAGCCTATGTTTAAATCTCTAAGGGTTAAAACGTGGAATAAAGTAAAAACATCTTTCTCATGTGTGTTATTAAATGCAGCTGTAACAGGATTGTAAATGTACTATACAGTCCCTAAAGCCTGCAGCTGTAAACGGTGACTTGACTTCTATAAAAGCCTTTTTATATGCAGATCTGCTGCCTTTTTTAAATTTCTTTTTTTCTTTTTCTTTTTTTACACAACCAGGATCTGCGGTCTTGGAAAGGATTCCTCAGCATTTTTCAGCCATCCAGCTGAGAGTTTCACTGGAGTGGTTTTCATCTTACAAATATTTTCATTATCTCACATTCTTGGCACCAGAGACTGTGCCAGAATAACACATTCAGCGGTGTCTGCTTTGAATTATGCCCACCCAAGGGTGTCAGGAACAACACAGGCCGAGGCATAAGCCACTATGCAAGTTTGCTGGACTAATGACACCAAAGTCCATTTTTACAGGATACTTCAAAGTCATTTGATGACTTTTACAAAAGCGTCTGAAAAAGATAAATAATCACAAAAACATGCACTTATTTATTCACATTAATTAAAGCATAAAAACATCAGTGCACAATTCTCCCCCACCCCTCCCACATATTTACATGTCATGTTTCAAATTCCAATAACACATGGGATGTCCTACCTTCTCTCCCTGATATGAGGTTTGATTTGGCTGCCTTAGGAGCCACTTGAGAGACAAGATAAGGACATCTTCTGTCTTCACCTGATCTATATGGGCTTCAACTTTTTCTATTCTTTTTTTCATTCATGCATTTCTAGATATTTAAAATGGCAACAAGAGAAATGTAAAGTCTGCTTATTTTGTTTTTTAAAAAAAAATCCAGGAGGAGTCAATAGGCTTAATAATTATAATCAAATGTTAACTGTTGAAACATCCTGCCAGCCAATCAGAGTGCGGTTTCTAATCATGTGACGTCCTCGAAGACTTCCAAGTTTCAGACAAGATAGTTAACCTAAAAAAAAAAAAAAACCTCCTTCCCCACTGAGCGAAACTTCAAAATAAGAAAAAGTGTTGAAGGACAAACAGGAGATTTCCGCACATAAATATGCTTATTCTCAAAAAGTCTTGTCGTTTTGTTACTAATCAGATTTGATCGTCGTGCACATTAAGCAGACCGTAACGAAGCGGAAGTAGGTTGGAGAGAATGCTCTCGCTTGGTTTGAATACTTTCCTGTACTCTCTTCGGTGTGTCCGCCGCAATGGTCGTCCTGAAAGGAATCCCCTTTATTCTGTCACCTGAACTGCTGTATACTCTCGCTAAAATGGGTCATGGGGATGAACTGGGTATGAAGTTTAATCACACACTTTAAGTTATCCTGTTGTTATTGTTGCCAGTTCTAATATTCAATGTTTGCACAGAGAGTCACTGCAGGGTAAAGACTACTTCAGGTTCATAGTCACACCTGTGTGACAGACAGACAGTGTAGAACACCTTTTAGGATATATATTTTTGATGACATGACATGTATTTAGATCTATCTATGCAGTTCTTTTGATCTGCCAGGTAGGATACTTTATTTCTCAACTTTTGGAGATATAGATAATATTCATAGAGCTCCTTTATGACAGTTTTTGAGTTTGTATTGTTTATTGTGTTGTATTGGTTACGTCATGTGTTCTGTTGTACTGTGTGAGTATGAATGTTATGGATTTGTATTTATGTAATCTAACTAATGAAACATTGTCATTTAAGATTGGAGACCCCAGGAAGCATAGTTTAATACAGAAGCTAATGGGGGTTTAAAAAAATCAATCCAGATGATCAACCTGTAGTTTCACTGGAAAATGAATGAAATGTAACATTCTCATTCATAATGTTTTTGTTTTTTTAAAGTTCTTGCTGATGCAAACTTTCCAGCATCCTCCATTTGTGCTTGTGGTCCAAAGGAGATCAGAGCTGACGGTATGTAAACACATTTTCAGGAAACAACATTTTTAGATTTGTTTTATTGCAGATTGTTGTTCCAACTTAATCTGATTTTTTTCTTGTAGGTTTGGGAATCCCTCAGCTTTTACAGGCCATTTTAAGGTTGTTGCCCCTGGATACCTATGTCCACTCTGCGGTACAAATCATTTAGTTGTCCATACAGTCCTTTCATTTTCATTGGTATCAGTTGTTAACTATGTTGCTGATGTGTCTCCACAGGCTGCAGTCATGGATCTGGTGGACAGTGACAAAGTGAAGGGTTTTACTGCCCCTATTGTGTGGGACACTTACAATGACCTTATTAGGAATGCTGAGCCTCTGGTAAAAAAAAACAATAACAACGGTTTCAAACAATAAAAACAGATTTCTGTAACTCAAAATAGCTTTTTGTTTGACAGTTTGCTTGTGGATTTTTGTTTACACTCAGACATCTCTTGAAAAGATAGAAAGGTTTGCTTTCTATGAACGAGCCAAGAAAGCCTACGCTGTTGTAGCAACAGGGTATGTACTTTCTTTACTTTTAATTGTTGATGTGTGTGTGTGTGTGTGTGTGTGTGTGTGTGTGTGTGTGTTTGAAAATTGTTTTCAAATGTATCACTTGAAAAAAAAGATTTCTAGAAATAAGCAAACATCACTAAGTTGTAAAATGGGTGTTTTTTTTCTTTTTTTGCGGTAAATAACCGTGTTTCTCTGCTTGATAATCAGACTGGATTACAATTTAGATTTCAGTTCAACATGTCATTGAAAACCAGCAATGGAAAACGTAAATATTCCTCCCTTTCTGATGTTCCCTCTGCTCTGTCCTCGCAGGGAAACAGCTCTGTACGGGAACCTGATACTGAAGAAGGGGGTGATTCCTGCAGAGCGGCTGGAGTGATGCACAGACACTGAGACGCTACACATTTAAAGTAATGATGTTGCAATGTTAATTTCAATCATAGCTTTAATTCCTTGTGAAAATCAGTGACAGGCGATTTTTTTTTTTTTTGTTGCACAAAGTTATTTTTTTTTACAATTTTCAGGTGAAGCTCTGAATTTAAAACATTTGTTTTTGTAAGTAATACTGTAAATATTTACGATCATTTAGAATTTACAGGTTACATGAAGCAGAAATTTGTTGTAGGTCTTATTAACATCCTCTGCATTGTACATACATTTAAATAAATAAAACAAATAAAATCTTTAGGAGTGTTTGTTTAAGTATTTTTTATCATGAAGATACATTTGAGTGACAGTTGGATGAGTCAGATGACGCTTGTGATTATTTACCATTTTGTTTTATATGATCTGGTCTATAATAAGAAGTACACCTGGCTGTTTTTGAAGGATTACCGGTGGTAAATATCATCCAGGTCTTCCTCTGGTTCACTGTGCTTCCCCTGAAACGGCAGATCAACCAGAGCTGCAGCTGGAGCGTCATCTTGGTAAGGGACTGGCTGCAGGAAGTCTTTGTGGTACAGGTCGTCCATGTCCTCCTCTGGTTCAGAGTATAACGCAGGCACCTCAGCACCAGCCTTGTATTCAGCCGTGAGGGGGGCCAAATATCCAGCCAGCTCCTCCCTTGCTTTGTAGTAGACTGCATCCCAATCCTGCTCAGGTTCCACAGGGAGCACCTCAAAATCAGGGTGCTGGACGTCCTCTTTATCCTCCTCCACCTGCATGGAATGTGCCGGGATGTCTGCAGGGAGGGCGTCCACGTTTTGGATTTGAACCCTGAGGAGATCGGCCATCGAGGGGTGGTACAGCTCGTCCAAGTCTTCCTCCGCCTTCAGGTGCAGTTTGACTTCTCCACCGCCCGTCATGCTCTTCCAGATCTTCATATTTGGGTCAACGTCAAAGTCAGTCTCATCCATGTTCTCCGGAGGCTCCACTTCCACTCCCCAGGACATTTTTCCATCCTTATCGACGGACCTGAGATAAAAGAAATGTGAGCACTCTCAGACTGCATTTCCTCCAGAGAAAGAGAGAAAGATTCACTTTTATTTTAGCTGAAGGAAATGACAACTTACATAACGCTGTGCTGGAATGTTTCATCTGTAAATTGATTCTGAGAAGAGAGCAGAAATATTATGTGACTGAAAATACAAGTAAGAGAACATGATAAAACTCTCGAACATCTAAAAGCTTTCAATTTATTTAGTTTCCTTTTTTTTGTTGTGATTAACAATTTTTATTGTTTCTTTTTTTTTCAAAACATAACATGACAAAATAGGCATACAGTGCCCACCAAACATACACTTAAAACAAGAAAATCCAAAAACAATCAAAAAACAAAACAAACTGTCTTGCATCTCCTGAGAAGAATCTGCCTGCCTATCATAATGCCAGTTTGGACCCAACTTTTATTGTGTTTATCCCCTCCCAACAGAACTGATCGGTCACCTAGAATAAATAATCTGAGGGTAAATGGAATTTGGGTCTCTGCAATGTCACATATATTATTATATATTCATGTCCAGAATTGTTGAACTTTGTATTTAGTTTCCTTTTTAACTTTTCTTATTCTTCACAGTTCAAACCGTGTAGCATCTAGGTGAAAGCTTACATTCAGGTTAATGCTACTAGAGCCTTATTAAAGAGCCAGGCTGAAACATAAATATCAAACATCCCAATTTTTTATTTATATGTTTCTGTATTCATTCTGTCTGTGAATTGAAAGGCAGGTACACTCGTACTTTTTCAACTGAGGAATTCAAAATGCCTCGTTTTCCCTTTAATACAAAAACAAAAAGTCTTCAGTTTGTGGAGAAAAGCAAACAAATAAAGTCATACATACCCAGGGTTTATATGGCTTTGCCGTGACGCAGATAATCAGAGAAACACCGACGATTAAAGAAAACCTGCGAGTGAAAAGACTCAGGATTACTGTCCAGAAAAGATCATTATCCAGGGAAAGAAACAAACAAGTAATTTATACAGGTAGAAAATAAAAACTAGGTAAATCAAATCTATAGTTCTCTCACCTGAACATGGTGTCGGCTTTCAGCTCAGCTTTGTTTTGTATCTGAACGATGGGAAATCTTTAACTTGTGGTGGAAAAAGACCAAAAGACCAAAGTCCTGGCAATAAACAGTCGTATTTTCTCGACCTTTGTATCCACGGAAACAGAAACGTCAGCTGTAATCATCCATGTCTGGTCCTTGTTGTGCTGCAACAACAAAATGTTTTTGATTTAAAAAAGTAATTCACTCCTTTCGTAACAGTGTACATGTATGTGTCTTAATCCAGTGAGCAGGTAAAACTGCATTCTGTTTGTCTGGTCTCATGTGTGAGAATGTGCTTTATGCATCATCTGATCATACATCTGACAACTCCGTCTGTGGGGATTAAACCTGATGTAATGACGACCTTTGACCTTAGAGCTGAGTGTGAGATATTTAATCACGACTCAAAGTTTGTCATGCAGTAAAAGTTTAAAAGGGCTTTTCCTATTACCTGTGCGTCCATAACTACAGTGCAATCTAAATTAAGTTTGACTATTACACAATATGGATCTCAGAGCTATGACGTTGTGATAAGTGAAAAGTAAGTTGGCTCTTTTTATGTCAAATTGATGAAAACAAAACTAAAACAATTCAACTCGTTTTCAAACCCAGTTATAAATAAGCAGCTTACACCCTGATATGACTTTTATTTTAGAGTACAGTGGATAGAGTAGGATACCAGAGAGAGAGAGAGAGAGAGAGAGAGCGAGGAACAACATTCAGGAAAGGAGCCACAGGTCGGATTTGAGCCTGGGCCGCTCACACTCGGGCCTCTGTACATGGTGCAAGCGCACTAACCACTAGGCTACAGGCGCCCCTGCAGCAAACACTTTTCAGGGAAACTCTATATTATATCTTATAATCACAATCACTTCATCAACAGCTGTCAGACTGATGTCATGTATCATTTATGTATTTATGTAAAGAAGTGACATGTTGTGCATCAAAATGTAAACTATCTTAAGTTGTTTCACACATCAGGTCTTGTGTATGTAAATACGAACTGTGTCACAACAATAACTCAACGTGCCCGGCTTACTGTCACAGGAACTCTGTCAGACGCAGACAGGCTGCTCAGTGCGCACAGCTTCAATCATTTAAAGTCACTAATTACCTCCACACACACATTCACTCACGAGGACCGATTGGAGGCAGATGATCGGCCTGTGATCTTAGTGCCAGGCACCAGAAGCAACTTCAACGAGTGGCAGCTCTTATTTATGTTCATGAAAACTTCCTGTACCCCCCCCCTGTAACTCTGTTGTTTCAAAATAAAACAGCTCCTTTGTGTTTAATGTACAAAATAACTCTCTTTATAGAGAGAGAAAAGAAAACTTTACCTCTGACTCTTTCTTAATGAAGTAAATTTAAACAGATTAAACAGATGTGAAATAACATTTATACAATTAATGCCATATGATTATCGCTCGGTGTCTGGGGTCCCCCTCCATCCCTCCATCAAGCTGCTGTGAATCAGCTCCTCCTCTCCTCTCCTCTCCTCTCCTCTCCTCCTCTCCTCTCCTCTCCTCTCCTCTCCTCTCCTCTCCTCCCTCCTCCTCTCCTCTCCTCTCCTCTCCTCTCCTCACCACTCCTCTCCTCTCCACTCCTCTCCTCTCCTCTCCACTCCTCTCCCCTCCTCACCACTCCTCTCCTCTCCTCTCCTCACCACTCCACTCCTCTCCTCTCCTCTCCTCTCCTCCTTTCTCCACTCCTCTCCTCTCCTCTCCTCACCACTCCTCTCCTCTCCTCCTCTCTCCTCTCCTCTCCTCTCTTCATACAGCAGTGGGAGGGTCAACATATGGGCTAAGCTAACAATGTCTCATAACAACAGGATTCAGCACACGTACACACACATGGTACAGTAGAACAGGAGCAGACAGCAACACCACACTTCCTGCTCTGTTTAAAGGATGGCTCCACCGCGTCTGCCTGTTATCTGTCCTCTCTATCAGATCCACATGTACGAGTTCAGGGTTACCCCTCGACCAGCCCCACTCCCAGGTCACTGAATGGTTAACTGTCTTCTACTCTAAAAATGCTCTCCAAAAAGCAAAAAAAAAAGAAAAAGCCAGACATCTGTAAGATAGAAATGTATTCAACAAGTGACTGTTTATTTCACCTTTAACTTCTGTATTGGGAAGAGATGTTCCAGTACGCTACCTCTTTTTTTTCTTCTTAATACTTGTAGCAACTACAGCTTGAAATGCTGCTTAGAGCGGAAGTGAACTTTCAACTGTGACTCGCTTATTATACCAATCGGCAACTTCTGAATGAAGCCAAAGCGGAAGTGTAAAAAACTGCAGTTCCTTGAGGGTGCTGACTCCAAAAGACTCAAGAGTTCCTTACAAACCCGATATTAAAATGTCTGTTTTGACAGCAGGAATTAACATGTTTAAGCCTGGTACCATTTTGTTTTGGTTTTATTAGTCACCGTCTTTATCGACAACAGAATGAAATATATATTAGAAGAGTAACGTGGGTTTCATCCAACTTTTATATATAAAAGAGCACATGTCACTCCGCTGTTACTGCTCGCATCAAATCTAAAACTCTGCTGCTCGCTTACAAAACAGACACAGAAACGTTTCCTCCTTACTTTAACGCTCTCATCAGGTCTACACTCCCTCCCGCCCAATACGCTCTGCAAATGAAAGACGTCTGATCCAACCTTCACAACAGGGAATGAACTTCCAAACTCCATTCAATCTGCAGAGTCCCTCTGTACCTTTAAGAAAAAGCTAAAGACCCAGCTCTTTCATGAATACCTACTAACTTAATGATGATGGTCTCCATATTATTGATGATGATGATGGTTGTGACGATGGTTTTTGTTTGATAACGATGACTTATAAGATGGTTTCTATACTGATTAGAGCTCTCAAGAACTGCCCTCAATGTTGTGCTTTGCCTCTGGTCACTTCCTGTCAGCACCTGTGTGTCCAATCAGACTCAAAGCTGATCGTTTGCTCTTACTCACATTGTTCCCTTTTTTCTAGATCCTTGCTTGTGTTGTTCTTACTCTCTGATGTACGTCGCTTTGGATAAAATCGTCTGCTAAGTGAACTGTAGAATTGTAGAATGTTAATTCGGGAGCTTTAGAGGCTCTGGTTAGCTGATGTTGTTACCTGCTCAGTCTTTATGCTATGCTAAGCAAACCAGCTGTTTTCTGCACCAGGTTTTTATTTGTGTACAGGCTTGA